CAGGCTGCCGAAACCTCTCTTGTAGTCTTGCCAGGTCCGGTTAAAATTCAGTGATCCATCCATTCTTTGCTGGATCAAAAGCCATCCTCCCAAACTGGTCTCTTGATCGCAATAAACAGAAAAAATCTTACTGGATCCGGGTAGCTTGATATTGAAAATGCCACTTTGGGTACCTGAAGGATGTGTTTGGAGGACATCATCACAGTCTAAAAAAAAAATTAAGCTGGTTGGAAGAAGTTATTCTCATTTAACTTTACAAAGATAGGCACGACTCAGATTAAAGAAGGCAAATATTGTTTCCTTCCCTTCTGTTCTTTCTTCCTCCTTTTCTTCCCTCCATAGGGGAAGGATGCACTTACAGTGGGATAGAACTTATGCAAACAAGGGCTTATTTATACCTACAAATTGCAAAGGGGATTTTCCTCAAATGGATTTGGAATTTTACTTGCACATACTAATAGTAAGTAACCAGTACAGGTAGCTAAGCATCAATTAATACTAATAGAACTTGTTTTTAGGCTGACCTAAATGTCAACTGAGACACATACTAAAAATGTGATTAATCAATTGGGTGACAATTCTAATAGCACACACTTTGACTAGTGAAAGAATTTGATTAAATAAGCTCAAATAGAGTTTCAGAGGAAGTAATTCATCCATTTAACATGTATTTATTGAGTCATGACTCTGTTACTGTTAGGCATTTGGAAATACAGAGATGAGACAGACAAAGGCCCTGCCCCCATGGAACTTACAGTCTAGCACAAAAACAGACCAAAAAAGTGTAGTTTCAATGAACTGTAACAGAGAGTTAAGAAGGAAATGCAAGGGGCCATGGGAGCACTGTGCAGAAATATTGAACTTAGTCTAAGGGGACAGGAAAGGCTTCCCCAAAGGAGAAGTGTGGATACCTCTGGAAGAGCGAGATTTAGCATGGCCTCTCTTGGTGGAATGTGTTCCTTCATGATCAGCTTCACTTCCGGCCTCATCTGCCATTTTATAACTCTTGCTTTCAAATGTGGAGCCTTCTCTGTTGTAAGCTGTGCTACTAATAAATTGTTTGCTATGACTTGAAGTTTTACCACTGGAAGGGAATTCAGCTACCCCAGAGTGATGAGAACTGGTTCCCTTTGTATTTGTGAAGGTACCAGATTCTGAACCCATTGACTCAGTCTCACTGGCAAACTCTCTGAACATAGGTGGAAAGAAACCTGGAAATGTTTTTCCGGTTGAGGCAGTGTCAAAGAAGGCAGCTGCATCAGGGTGCCTATGGCGGAACTCATCCAGAGTACCTATGCCTAAATCTATTGCCTCAGGACAGTCAGAACCATCTTCGGAGGTCACCACTTCTTTGGTAACTTCTTTGTTACCATCAGGACCAATAACAGTCTTAGTAACAGTTTTAGAGCATGAACGACGTGTGGTGGTTGTGCTACCAGAGGTGACCTTCTCTTTACCAACCACAAGCTCTTTGTCTCCTTTAGAAGTGACCAGTTTATCTGTGTGGTACTCTCTGTTTGTCCCTGGACTTACATTTCCTGGCACCTCTTCAACCATGCCCCAGTCTGGGTTGGTAGGCCTGGTGTTCCCAGAGCCTGAGCTATCTGGCCTAAAACTTCCAGATCCAGAGTGCCAATGTCCAGTACTACTAGATACAGAGCTCTCAGAACTCCAGTGCCCAGCACTTCCATGTCCAGAGCTGCCAGGATTCCAGGTTTCGGTACTACCAGGTCTAGGGCTCCCAGTGTTTTGGTTTCCAGTACTTCCAGGTCTAGAGCTCCCAGGGTTCCAGGTTCCAGTACTTCCAGTTCCAGAGCTCCCAGGGTTCCAGGTTCCAGTACTTCCAGTTCCAGAGCTCCCAGGGTTCC